CGCCGCGGAGTACTGTTCTTGAATAGGCTGTTAGTTACAATATTGTTCTTTCTAATTTTTAAAGAATTCAAGTCATTATAGTAACATTTTTAGTTCGTTTTCATTTTCTTCGGCTTAGCTTTATAAATCTGTCTATAGTCAGTATATTCACAATATTGTATACAATACTTGTATTTGTTTCGTTGTACGAAAGTGCAAGTTTGTAAGTAACAAACCTTTAGGAATGGTTTATAGTTTGTAAAATTCTGAATGCCAAATGTGATGTGTCAGTAAATTTGGTTCTACTGAATCATTTGCAAGTGAGAGATTTTATGTATAGTTGACGGTACAAGTGCCTCTCCTTCATCTGTTACTGTCACAAGGAACCCCATTATGCCGGTAATGTACTCGTACTTTCAATGTAAAGGGCGAAATGTAAAATTAAATTTGATAATACAAGAGATATAACTGTTTAATCGTCAGACGTTTGCGTTTGAGTTGAGGTTTTTTTTTTGAAATTCACTTAATTCTGAAATAGTTCCATTTCATTGAATGTTAACTATTCCAGACGCTAAAAATAAATTTGATTTTAAGTATTGCTTTACTTAAAAAATAACTTTAAAAAAGGACTTGTGTAGGGTGACCACGAATATTGTTAAAAGAAAACCACTTTTCGATAAGTTATTAATGTAATAATAAAAAGCGTTCCATACATTTTTCGATTAAAAAAAATCAGTTTAATGTTGCTCTAAAAAATTGCCACTTTAAATAGAAAAACAGATTTAAACCTTACTTTATATGCAAAAAGCGCCATCTAGTGTCTGCCGAGTGAATATATAGTTTATAAACATAATATGAAGAAAAGCCTCAAGTACAGATATCGGTTTGTTAGTTTATTTGCGCGTCCATTAGGATGAAGTTTTTACAGTTAGAACCCGGGTTGCCAGGTAGGGCTTATCCTGGAAGAAAAAGGTTGTTTTCTAAATAGCACCTCTTAAAATGTGTAGTGTGTTTGATATTTAATTACAACTGACCAGTAATGAGTATGTTTACTGATTGATTTCTATAAGCACGTTTTGCGTATTACGTAATCACAAACAAATATAGACTAATTGATTTTATTAATAAACCATTTTTTGTTCTTTATAATGTTAGACAAAATATAACGCCCACATTTTTCTGTGCATATCGTGAGAGAATTTAAACATTTTATATTTTTTTAAATAAAGCTTGTTCATAAGAGTACCAAATATGTTCTAAACTGTGTTTGGATACCTATTACACTGTCTAGTCTTTAATGTATATGTGTAGTTTACACCACAGTGTAAACTATACATTTGGTGTACTCAACTATCTTCCAATATCCCAAAGGTTGCTCTGAACTCCCAAGGATTGGCTAGTAGAGAATCCTAATGTCGTATTTTCTACAAAATTTCATTATCGATTAAATATACCTATTTTAGAATAAACATAACATCTAAAAAGTCCTAAATAAATGCAGTGAGTCCTCAAATTCTTTGCATAAAAGATGGGTACAATAATTATGCAAAATGAATGTTTAGAGTAAAATGCACTTAATGCTCCGCGAAAAGATACATTTAAAGTCATTTAAGGGGCTCTCAGTCGGTTGTTTGTGTTATATTATAAACAGAACAGGTCCTGGGAGGCAAATAATTGAATAGTCCCCCTTCTCCCAAAGAGACTTCACAATTTTATAAGGGAGAAGTAATTGCCTAAGTTGGTTAGATTACGAGGATTCGTTATTTATTAATAAAGATAATTGAGATGAAATTTCGATCTTTCTTCTGAATGTACTCATATTTCCTTGTTAATTACAAGGATCGTTGTCTCTATCTAACACGACGACAGAAAGATGTTCTATCGTCGTGTTAGATAGAGACGATAACATTTAGATATTGTTATCGTGAAATAGCTTAGTTTCCTTTTAATTATATACAATATAATATTTTAAATTAATCATTACGTAAGCGTAATGGGTAATTCATACATTGTAGTCATAAATAAAATCGTATAGAGCTACTACTGAATATATTTGATACGTCGCTCTCAAGGGAGTTTTTAACGTTTTTCCTCCAAGAATGAAATATCTTTCTACTGTAGTACATATAAAACCAGGTTAACATACAATTCGTCGAGTAGCTTTAGCTTGTGGGCAAAGACGAATAAATTGAAAAATAGAATGTTTAAGTATTTAAAGACCTCTATTACATTATAGTTTAAAAAATTAATGTCGATGTAGACATAGTTAGTTGCATTATAGATTTTATTTAAATCTATGACCATCATAGCGAATAAATAAAATATTAAAAAAAACATTAGTACATCATTTCGACACCATATAAATACAGTACATAAGAATAACACATCTTTATCAATAATAAGCTTTTATGTGGTATTTATAATTATTTTAAACAATATATTTTAATGTATAGTTTAGATATCTACAATATCGATCAGAATTTACGGCACACTGACAGTTCATACCGATACAAAATAAGTCACTGATTCGATCGATATTTACTAATATCGATCGAATGGACAGTCCTACTGGACTGTCAATATATTGTAGATTCCGATCTATATCGTCGATATACATACATATAACTAATTTTAAACTAATCAATACACATTCAATAGACAAACGAAATGTGTAAACATACCAGTAATGAGCTGCCTTCGTCCCGTTCGGAACATTTCCTCAGTAATTATACGGTAGGTAAATTGTTTCCTTCTTATTATGGTACAAATAACTTCCCCTCCCCCCGGCCGCCGCTTTCCCCTTCGTCCCCCTCGCGCCTCAGTCAAGAGGTTATGTAAATTGTTTAACGAACGGTGCCGTTACGGGGCCCGATGGCGCACTTAAGGCATTAACATTTTAAAACGTTATTTGCGCTAAGTACACAATTACTTCTGCATTTAAACTGATTACCCTCCGTGTTTAAGAGAGGATTCACTTTAAATATTCTAATTAGTAGTTACCTTGGTCTTTTACGGTAGCACTTTGAATAGACGTAGTTAGTATTGTATCTAGAGATTCGCTCGTGCTCCCGTATGCTGTACGCGACTTAGTAATCTGTAATACTTTTTGCGTGGACGCGCAACTGTCACGATTCTGATGAATATGCTCTGAAATCTATGAAAGTATTCTACTACTATGTATAAACAACTGCTAAGTTCTCTATATGGGTATTCATACGAGTGGGTACATCACTACTAGTGAATTAAATAGGCTAATAAATAAGTAGGCGCCGTGGATGACTCTTGTTTATTTATTACATATTCTAAATAATATTATTATATATATAAAGAATGAGATATATAATGCATTATATTATGTATCGCAAAGTAATGGGTACCGTAAGCATTCTGTGATGTTTATGATGGTGCTCATATATCATAGCGATCATTTTTAGTCTGTAACAAATACCACAAAGCTGTGACCAGCGAACGTGGTTAACTATAAAAGAAGTAGAATACTGTTTAACATATAGAAAAAAATACATGGTAGCGCAACTGCAAATCGATGCACAGAACAACATTCCAATACATATACGCGTATCTACTATATATAAGAAACATTCTCGCGAAGTAATACTAAAATATATGGCTTCAGTAGATATTCACAAAAAAATCACAAATAGAGTTACATGGTTCCCAATACAAAAACTAATGTTTTGCTTTTCTCTCTGGAAAATGAACTAGACGTTCCTACAACAATTGTTAACGCCAAAAGATATTTTATTGTGAAAAACACGTTTGTAGGACAGTAGTCGTCATACGCACCAGCGTACTTAATTTGTTGTTCAATCCCCGTAGGCACTGGAGCCGGCGCTCCAGCCATTTTCACGTGTGTTGATCTCTCAAATTTAAACATTCATTCTGTACAAAGCAAAGCGGTGGAAATTAGGGTACACGCGCTTTGCACAGCGAGTTTTTCACCAGATCCCGTCTCGTTTTCTCGCGCCATTTTCATGCTAATCTCCGTGCGAGCGTGCTGATTTTGCGGGCATGAAATATTTGTAACAGACGGCCCGGCTTGCTACCTTTTCAATTTCGCCTCGCTCCACCCCCTCCGGGGTTTGAGAACGCCGAATGTTGAATTTTACGCGTTACATTCTACATTGCATTGTGTTTCCTTTGAGCGTTCGGTTTTTGCACACAAAAATATTTTCTTATTTACCTTGGTAACATCGCGACTTATATTTCTTGGTAGCGGCATCTTTACAGTTTTAAGGTTTCAAATTGGAATTGGTATGCATAGAGGCAAAACTGTTTTATGGCCGGTGTCATGGTGAGTCGTAAATTCGCACTCCGCCGCTAAGCTCAGGATCAGCTAGTACATATTTCAAAGATCATATGTGAGGATTTGTGACGCGTGAGAACTCACTGCACTCGTGTACTACTGTATCCGATGCAAATATTTGATAACTGACATGATACCTACAGCTACGTGTTAGCTATATGAACACGTTGATGTTGGCGCTGTGAGTTTAAATGTGACACTTCCGAGAGGGAAACGAGTTCCCGCGCTTTTCCGACATTGTTTTGAAATTAATATTGCGTTCCATTGTCATTGTATACGGATATATATGTTTGGTTATACGAATATCTGGTATTATATATTCATATGAATTCATCATCAACTACCGTAATACAAATACAAGGAGTAAATGTAACATATCATATGATTATTTAAACATCTTTTAACAAAAAGTAGTAAAAATAATTATGATGATTTATGATGGTTATAGCTTTAGAACTTATGCCTGTACGCGGTCCAAGTTTTACGCACAAAAAATGATCCCAAAATTATGTATGCTAATCATTTGTCTATGTTATTAAACTCATAAACCTGTTTATCAAAATTTATTGAAATTTTCTCTTCGAATTATTATAAAGTCTGTACATAATTTAAACTATTACACTGTGTCTCCAATTCGAAATAGAAAAGTTGATTACCCAAACCAAATGTTGCTTATATTTAATTTGTTTGTTCACAGAACGCAAGCTTTTCGTGGGCATGCTGAACAAGAAGCTGTCGGAGAACGACGTGCGGGGTTTATTTGCTGGACACGGAGCCATCGAGGAGTGTACGGTGCTGAGAGATGCGCAGGGTCAAAGTAAAGGCTGTGCCTTTGTCACATTCGTATCTAAGCAGGCGGCGATCGCTGCCATCAAGGTAATTGGATTTTGTGACTGGACTATCGTTGTAAAGAATATACCTGAAATATGCAGTATGAAAGCATTCACTTAAATGTAAGCACAATTTAAGTAAGTTGACATATCGCTTATAGTTACATTCGTAATTCTTGTAGCATTTTTAAAGTATCATATCATCTATTTATTTTTATTTCTTGTAATAAATATATAATATTAATTTATCGTAACTTATAAATCGAATAACACGACTGACACGCTGACTCTAAAAGAGCAAGCAGTTTTTTCAAGGTAAATATTTTTGGACGCGTATCATCATCAAAATCATACAATTCTTATAAAAATAATGGTTAGTATCAAAGTGGATAATATATAATAATATACAAACGTAGGCAGTGTGTAATACTCAAAATATGAAGTCATTAAACATTTTAACTTTAATAAAAATAGTGACTACTCCTATTTTTACGTCAGCTCCTGTTGAGGCTACGGTTACCCTGTCAAAAATGAATTATAAAATAATGGGAATGTAAACATGTACTATACGTTAGCGCCTGTATACATGGTCTTCTGATGCTAATAAGTTTATTATAAATATCAAATCAGTGCAAAGTAAAATATCAAGAAACCAACGTGTCTTTTCCTATTGGTAAAATACATGTATGTTACATGCTAGGTGGGGTAAATACAACCCCAACACGATATGACTAAAAATAGAAGTTTAAATCAGTCTGCTATTTGGCAGTTTGTGTTCACGCAAAGTCTTAAAAATGTAAAATTTAACAACATTTATTTTAAAAAGCAGCACGCAAGTTTTGTCCTTCTTCTTCGTAACGAGTCAGCTTTCGGTAGAATAAAGAAAATATGACTATTCAAATATACTTATATTAAGTTTATTTGAATAAAGATTATTTCAATTTCCATAAATTTTCTTATACCTTAGTACAATAGCATCGCTTTTCAATTTCCAGGCATTGCACCACAGTCAAACGATGGAGGGTTGTTCAGCGCCACTAGTTGTTAAGTTTGCTGATACACAAAAGGAGAAGGAACAAAAGAAGCTGCAGGCGATCCAAGCGAGCTTATGGAGCTTATCGGCGCCTGTGGCACCCACAACATATCTCGCTTCGGAAGCGGCACTGTCCCCAACGCAGTTGCAACTGTTGCAGCAAATCCAAGCAGTTGGCTTGCAGCAACAGTTGATGCAAGGACAAGGATCAACTTTATTGCAAGGTATTAAAATTCGTTATGTATATTTCTTTTATAGATGATAACTATATGCTCCACCTGTCTGCACACGATATACACTAACTGGACACTGTGGAGGATGATCACCAGGAATTAATCGCGATATTTTTTGGGGTCACTAATCCTGATTACTGACGATCCCCTTTTAACCCTCTCTGTATATTGTTAGATTTAATTTAGAGTCTAGAATTAATTTAGATGTAATAAACCAAACTGGTTGTTTTATTGTAAATGGACTAACGTTAACACTCTCTTAATTTTTCATTAACATTAACCAAAGCTGATCAGTTGGTTATATTACATCTCCAAGTTCTTGGTGTATATTACATAGACTTTCATTGTTTTGGTGGAAGTACATTTATATGAGTATAACGATTCATTGCCTGTCTACCAGCCAGAGATCTGCAGCATAATTTTGTACATAACGAACTTTAAAATATACTCGTTTGAAATAGATTGCTGCGGTTATATAAGAATCATCCAACAATTGAAATTATAATGCTAGTTCTAATTAAAAATTCCTAACTGAGACTCTTGTACATCAAAAACACAAAAACTATCAATGTTAATCTGTTTTAAACGAGATTTATCATCAAAGTAGCAAGACCCTAGTCAGAAAAGATAGTATATTTAATTTCGCATAGTTTTAGATAGTTATCGCATTTCAATCGTAGTTTTCATAAAATTATCAAGTACCTACTAGTAGCAGTGGATGCGGAGCGTACGTACATACATAATGATTCGTGTCAATACATTTATGAGTAGCTAACTAGTTGGTCGTGGTTGGCAAATTGACTCACTGTTTGTTTTAATGATTCACAAGCCTTGAGTTAAGTAGGTATTAGGGGCAGCAATATTATCCTTCAATATTGTGTAACACTAAATTTATATTAGACAGTAGATATCCAAAGTTTATATTTATACAAGTATAAATTGTCAAACTAATATCTTTGCGTTTGGTTTTAGTCCGTTGCATTATATTTTTTAAGTCTCATGCCCTAGTGATTTACTACTTCGAGTTGTTTGCGCAAATAGCCAAATAGTTGTATTAAAAATATAGTTTTACAAAAATTGTATGTGGAACGTCAGACGTAGAACATTGGTTTTTTTTTTTATTTTATTCTGGAAAGTTCCGAGGCGTCATCATTAAATCCATCCACAAAATTGAAGATTAAAGATCAAAAAATCGTGAGTTTGAATCTGATCTACACAATGAAACTATGTGTCAATTACCATTTTTGACCAAATATCCGAAACACACCGATTGGCTCCTGGCTCCACCTGCCTGCCTTCAAATATATTCATACTATACAGCTCACAACGAAATGTGAGCATGTCAAGTGTTGCGTTCACTACGAAGACGACAGTTAACAATTCCACTGAGATGACAGTAGTGAAGTTATATTTACTTATTTCTTTGCATTTTATATCTTTGCCTAACAGTAAAACTATGCCTGCTCTTTTTTCTTTTGAATAATATATTTTAATTTGGCTTTTTTGCTTTTTTCTGTTTCATAAAACGCTTTTTCGTTCGTCATAGGTGTTAACTATCCAGAAATCGGTTTCCCTGGCGCAGGCCTGAGTGGGGGTGCTGTAAGCGGGGTCGCGGCCGTCAGCGGGGTGGGCGGGATCGGTGGGGGGGCGGCAGATCAACTCGGCGGGATGCTGGCACCGGTGTCGGTGCAGAACTTAGCAGCTCTGGCCGCGATGGCGCCGTCTCCTGTGGTGACGCAAGCGGCTGCTATGGCGCCCGCAGCGGCACCACAGCCTGCCGCGCCACAACTGTGTAAGTAGCCCTAGTTCAATATGGTATGGAGTCACCCTTACCTAGAGTTATCAGTGCCATGTTATACTGGTCTAAATTAGCACCCAATCAGAAGAGATTAACTTAAAAATCGAAGAATAATATGATACACTTGACGCCCTTATATATGATGACTTATAGATAGATAAATCTATAAATCATTTATAGCATTAGATACTTTGAAATTAACCTGTTGACAGATCTGTCCTATAGAATCGCAAAACAGTTTCAGTTTCAAACCAAACTTGTTAGAAACTTCAATTGGTTTTATTATTACCAATCTAATTTCAAATCTTATATCCAACTCGAATGCAGAGTATAAGATTCGCGCGTTTTGGCAATCACTTCGAATCTGTATCGCGTAATGGCGATTTCTTACAATACAATGTAGCATTCTGCAGCAAGCTGCTAATAACTACTTGATGCCCCAACTGGAACTATGTATGTAATATATGTTTAGTTAGAATGAAGCGTTCAACCGCGATATTTAATTTGAGCTGCAACTGAACTTCCGATAAGCAACTAAGTGCTATATAATCGCAGATGATAAAAGCGTCCTGTTTGCTACGATCCTTAGATCAAATATTGTAAATATTTGATCTAAGGATATTTGAGAGCACAAATAACATGAATTTACTATTTAATAGAAAGAGTAATTAGATACATACATCCATTTGTAACCGTCTCATAGCTAATAAGGGCTATTTGCCCTATTACAACTATCAGTGCTGAATTATTCGGGAAAACGGAATTGTTATCCGTACGTCACGCTAGCCATCCCTCGAATCGGAACTGCCTCATTAGCAAAGATTCTTTAATAGAAGAACGTAAGGTCCGGCACTACGAGAATGAAAATGGCGACGATAATTGTCATTTCTTTTTCTCTATTGCCGAACGTGTTCCTTCCTGCCTTAAATTCGTCCTGTAAGACAATTAAGGCAAATAAATTCTGCACTAATTGCACGAACTGTCCAAATCCGTAATTGGTGTGGTGACACTATCTAAGTACCATAGTTTAGGCCATGAAAAATTGTCACGATCTATTTTGTCCGCAAACTTTCCTATTTCAGGTTGGAATTTATATAGAGAACAGTTAATATAAAAGAGAATTAATTAACGATGAACATTTTTCACACTTCAGGTCTTCTCGGGAAGACTAACATAACAGGTAAAAACGCAAACGTATCGAAACTGTGTGCTATTTACATGGAATGACTTATCTTTGGCTTCATAGAGTTGTGTAGTGAATGAGAAAGACTGTTATAATTTTACTTCAATAGATAACTACATCTATTGAATCTATTTTAGTTGGTATATCTAATAGCAATACAATCCCTGCCTAAAAAATGTTGATAATAATATTCTATTTTCCGAAATTTACGTTGTACTTATCTGCAGTAAGATTAATTTGAATAAAACTTATGTCATCATGACATGAGCATTTCTAACACAATATTGCTATCTCTATTAATAGTTTTTCGAAGAGTGGTGATTTTATACCACATTATCAATAATTATTACTTATTAATTTAAAATCATGCTAGAAAAGAAATGTTTTAATCTAAATTACAAACAAATACAAATTTAAAAATAAATACATACTTAATGATTTTGTTTTGACCTTACAGACACAAATTTTTAAAATATTTTATTCTATTGCTCTGTATTAGCTGATATAACCGGCGGGGATATATTTTTTTTACTAAAGTCTTATCTCGTTTACTACAAGGATCTAGGTTTCGCTTGGTACAATTTCTATGTTGGCGTTAAATAGGTAGTATTTTATTGCCTGGCGTTGCTTGATTGTGTAATAGACGTTCTAGTGTCTAATAATCGAAAGCGGTAAGGAGATGCCGTTTGTGTTATCACGATGACAATCTTGTTTTAATATATTATTTGTCTTTTAAAACTCATGTTCGGTCTTAATTCGTTGAATACCTACATTGTTGTTCGGATTGTGGGTGCTTATTTCTTTTTTATTACCTCTCACCTTTTGTTGACAGTTTTTTTTTTATGTATGTGGTGTGTCGGAAAGTGATACTTGCCTATTGAAGAGACATAACAGTTTTACATATATGTTCACGTTATCAGTTATATGAAAATAGTTTTCGAACTTTTCGAGCTACACGTCAGGTATGTAAGAATCAAAAATTATTTTCATAGTTGATGATTAAGTGAATATTTCCTGGAGAAAGTTGATACGGTTGACAAATTTTGTCAACTGTATCAAAAAAACAAATAATGTGGAGAAAAATATAAAATAAAAATTTAATTAGTTTCTTAATAACGTTTTTAAAATTTTTTTTTTTATTCAAGACCTTAACATGCTTTTTCTCGTCCAGGGGTCGGTATTTCCATGTGATATGGTTACTTGTTATAATGATTTTAATGTCATTTCTTGTTTATAATCAAATATCTAACACTATTCTGACACACCGCTGTATTTAACTTGATTGATCGAATGTCTTGTGAACGGAAAATTAAAACAATTATTGCTTTTTTTTAATGATCGTTACGGTCAGCAACACAAGTTACTTTTAATTATAACTAGCTTCTTTTGCTGCGGACTGTAATTTCTCTTGATAATTGTAAATGTTGGAATTCGTAATGAGTTGTGCATTATCATTTGTGTCAGGGTTGTTCATGATTTATGTATTGATATATCTTTTATATATAGTGTGTGAAATGGAAGGCAGTATAATTTGTTTGACACTTAGTATCTATATATAATACATGAACTACCCATACAAAATAACTTTTGTAAAATATTGAGATATATTCACGTTTCGTGTACATTAACATTCGTTGTGTTCTTGCATGAAGTGCTAAAACTAAACGATGGTTGTCTTGATGATATAATAATTATATCGTGTTTGTTTATTGGAAACTTTTTAAACATAATGTATATATTAATTAGAAAATAATTTGTTATATATGTAAATATATTCAGAAATATATGTTACTGAAAACCCCTTAGATATATTGATAAATCAGTGTGTTGATAAATTTGAGAATTTTATAAACAGGAAACAACTTTTCAATTTTTTACTGTAGCTATTACACGCTGTTGATCGATAATTGTATAACAATTTCTTGTATTGTTTAGTAAAAAGTTTTATAATACCCTTGCAATATAAACTGGGCAGTTAAAAACCTGCATTAGGTAAATCGTAATAAGATTCCTTCCATAGCCACTTGCTGTTTACTACTTTGTCATAATGACAACTAAATTGTAGGTATATAAAGTAGTACCTATACATACCAGTACAGTACAGTCAGTTCTAATTATAATATATAAATTTTAAGGGAAAACCAAACTACTTTGAAGTAGTGATATATTTAGATATTAATCAATTTGACGTCATACCTACGCATTTACAATGATGATGCTTAAAAAAATAAAGATACACTTATTACTCCACTATCAGTCACACACTATTCTGTGGGTGACCGAAACTAGGCTTCATAAGGTCAGTTAGAAACGGATTTTTTAGCCGAAGGTATCTTTCATGCCCTCCACAATGAAGAATTTGGTATAGATAATATTTTTAAAAATTAGTTTTTAGCACTCACTGAGTTTTTAGGCCATTCTCTCGATTTATATTTGCATTCTAAATATGACAGTAAAATAAAAAAATATCGATTCAAAAGTGATACTTGTATAAAGAATATATTTGTAAGATATTGTAACTATCTATTTTTGAGCTAAGTATTCCAACTCCACAAGTCATGTATCACGTAAAACGTTTGCACGAATGATACTATAAAGCACAATATATACTACAGGGTCAGCAGCAGAACCGCTGGGCTCAGCTTACGCGGCTCAGTTCGGCACGTTTGCGGCGGCGCCGCTCGGGTCCGTTCTGGGTTCCGCGGCGGCTGCAGCAGCTGGGAAGCAGGTCGAGGGTATGTACTCCCACTATTTACTAAACGTCCCCACAAAAATAGATCTGCAAGTTGGTCTTTTGATTGCCAAACTTGCGTGCTGAAGAAGCAGATAGGATTGCCTTAGAAGACTGAAAAGTCTTCTTCTCAACTAGTGGACAGCAGTTGGTACTGGCTCGGTTTATCTCAAACACAATTTTACTGTATTAGTTATTTATTAATAGGTAAGTATTCGTTTTAGCAACCTTCGTTCGAATATTTCTACTTTCTTACTGAATTTAACGGGCGCACTCAAACAACTACGTGTCGATTCTCTTAGCGTCTCTCTGCGAGCACGAAATGTCACTGTTAGTTCACTAACATTTGGCGCCAACACATGTTGTTTCACAAAAACTGTGCTGTGCTGTGCCTATACAGGATTAATGTTAAGTGTGTATTTTCAGGTCCGGAAGGCGGGAACCTGTTCATATACCACCTGCCGCAAGAGTTCACGGACCAGGACCTGGCGTCCACGTTCATTCCTTTCGGACACGTGATATCGGCCAAAGTGTTCATTGACAAACAGACGAACCTCTCCAAGTGTTTCGGTTTCGTCTCGTACGACAACGCACCCTCGGCTCAAGCTGCCATACAAGCCATGAACGGCTTCCAAATAGGTACAAAGAGACTCAAAGTTCAATTGAAACGTTCTAAAGAACTATCGAGACCGTACTAGAATATTCCAGAACGCGTTCCTAGTGAATTTTTCAAAAAACGAATACACAATGAAGTTGAAAAAAACAATTGCAAAAAAGGTTGTAAGATTCCGAACGTTTGTTGTGATGTATCCGGTGCACCTGAACTGAATAATAATAGGTCATAAGGTTCCTTCGAAAACGGGAGTCCATGTGCACAGTTGTTAACTAATAAGGTTAAGGTTTGTGTCAAAGGATTTATCGTTTCCAAAGTATTCCCCAAATTGTTTATTATTATATTATTGAAATAATTATTTTATAAGTTTTAGTCACACTAAGCATAAGTTGAATTCGTTTCGTAACCGATACATTCATGTTTGTGGACGCCAAAGAACAGATAGTATTTTTAGCTTGTTTTTGTTTGTGGCAAACGATACGTTGCGTTTTTTTAATACAAATGAGTATTTACAGTATATTTTGTCATTCAAACTCAAGATTAGGTACAAAACGAGAGTGCCGCGTACCACGCAAGTATTACGGTAATTTCGTTCACTTATACCTAGTTGTTTTAACAACATTATTTTGTTATTATTTTGTGTTACCACTTTATTAGTTTACGTTTATATAATAAACCTGAATGTGGCCATTGTCTTTTACGCGGATATTGGTGTCCAAATTCCTATTGATGGAATTAAATTAAACAAAATTAATTTAACTTAAAAAATAAAAGTCGACCTCTTTATTCCTATAATCAAGGATATAATAAGGTTTTATATGTCATACAGTTTAATTAATTTCGTATAGTTTAAAGGTGGCACTGATTTCTTTTCGTTTAAAAATATAAGATGTTAGAAATAATGAATTGATCTCAAAGTGATCAGTGTATTTATTGTTTAACTTATTGTTGTCAATAGTGTACTTAATCTTTGAATAATTCCTTTGTTTGGCTCGTGAGCCATTGGAAGGGAATGTGGATATCTCAAACGCAGTAAAGATTATATTTATAACCACCTCATAAGTAAAAAGTTATTCAGACAAGACCTAATAAGGCTTGTCTTAATAGCGTTTCAATTGTGATGGTTATCTAAGCTCTAAATTCACCCTCAGTTTTTATGTTCAACATATTAACAACAACATTTAGTCGCATCAAGAAGTTTGACGTTGCGTATATAACTCTATGTTTATAATTCCTTAGTCTCAAACCGCAAATTTGAAACAAATAAAAAAGTTCATAGACGCAAATCCAAAAGTAGTGATTACTTGCTTATACTAGTCACAAGATCTATGGTTGCGATATCCATATACTCTTTCAAAATATTTATAGTGCTTGTTTGTGTATAACTTATATTTAATGTACCACAATGAATTACATCTTTCAATTTATTGTAACACATCGAACACTGGCCCTTTAGTCAAAATTTTTGTTAGTTTTAAGTATTTAATGATAGACTATATTTACTATTTTCATAAGGTTCGGATTTCATTAATTGAACACTTAATTAAAAATAAAATTATTATATTTTTATTGTGTATCGTTCGTAAATATTTTTCATATATTCACTGGCACATTTTATTGTTTCATTACGGTAGGTATTTACGTGTAGTTCATTATGTCATGGGGTTTTATTGTTATAAAAAAATATTACAAATACCTAATGTTCATACCACTATCATAATACACGATTCACATCGATAAAAACTACAAGCACTTTAATTATATAGCTCTATTGAAATGCATTCTTAAGTATTACTTACCTACCTGTAACATTTTTCTGTTAAAATTAATGACTTGCATAAATATTATGTTTATTACAAGACCTGAACGGAAGCTCAAAAAGCTGTGAAAATTTATTAAAACTTAACCATATCATACATAGATATGCCTACCTATTTTGTGTTGTTTTTATGTCTTTAATTTAACAATGTGCCAATGCGATTCTGTTATAAAAAAATTACCTATATGTACGACCAATATGAACTAAAATTTTTGTATTCCCCGTTTTAAGTAGTTCGTATACAGTCGATTAATCGTCAGGTTACCCGAATGATCCTCATCTCCAAAGAATGTGGAGCATAACAGCTAAATGCGCCAATCCGAGTCAAACACAACTTTAGTCTCATTCAAACCACCTAACCATTAACCGAATGTATATGCGCAGCCTTAATCAATGTTTACCTTTTTTCGTATAAAGAACTGATGTAGGTAGACAACCGTTATTGTATTAATTTAATTTAGTTGAGTATTACTTACATTATATTTAAACATATATTTATCAAAATGGGTTTATTGTTTAGTTTAATTTAGTCATTTTGCGATGTCTGATGAAAGACAATATCTAGACTGAATAAGTTTCCTTGTAAGTGTTACAGCTGTACAGATTTCAGTAAATTAGTCTCGTGGTGACACTGTGTTTAAGGTCAGCATCTTGTAAAAAATGGTCTGTTAGAAATTTCCAACGCCTACCACAAATCACTAACATGTGAAAAATTATACTAGACCCCCAACTTGTGCGATTCTATTAGATTCTAAGTCTTGTAAAAGTAATATGCGTACAGGCAGATTTTCTACCAGGCTTTCTAACAGAATTCCGTATATTGTATGAAATTTTCTAACAATAGACGGCTGACTTTGCGGTGTTCTACGGGCACAGCTTCTTTATCTTATCATTCTTTGTTGTAAGGTATAAATATAAAGGGTTGTTTGTTAAAATATTTGACATTGGGAATACCCATTATCTCGGGATGAGATAGACGTAATCCTGGACACGACCATTCGACTAGCCTGTTTTATAAGGTGTGATCTAGTTAAATGTCAAAACTTGAATTAAGGCAATTTTTTACCTACATTTTCTAGGTATCTTAGAGAATTGAGACATCACCGTTGTTGTTGTGTCTGTCCCACGTCCACGGTGGTTATGGAAATATATTTTTTCTAGGACGCAATGTAAATATTGTTGTTGTCGACCACTTTAAATTATCAGTGAAAACTATGGAAAAAGTTAAGGCTGTACCATAGACTGCTGCATGTCATTATAGAATTCCTTTAGATATCATTTGCCTTATAAATAATGGTCATGGTAATTTTAAAAAGAGTTATATTTTAAAATCAATAACGCATTATTGATATTTAAAATTGAACTTTATTGTAAAGGAACATATATAATTTGTAATTTCTCTTTAGCCCAAAGAAATTTTCTGATATATGATGAGATATGGATGTCCCATTACCACCGAGCAAGTAATCACTAAAGTATGGTCATAAAATTTTTTGTAGAACTTTTGAAAAATTTCTGTAATCATGAAAGGTAATTAATTTATAAACTTATTATTTCTTAATAAACGTCGTAATGTTTTTTTTTGTAGGGAATTAAACATTATGGAAAATCTTAGGCGAAGGCTACACGTACTGCTAATATTGTGATCCACGCTATTTTATCCCTGTGAAATTTATAGTCTATGTGTATTTCTGATGTATAAGCTATATTATTGTTAAATTTAATAAAAATCCATTCAGTAGCTTTCGCGTGAAAGGGTGACAAATATCCATTCATACATCCATATTCCCAAACTATCGCATTTATAAAATTAATAGGATCATGATAATTACTTTACGTGTAGCCGTCGACTTATGATATGTTATAAATGTATTTGATACTTAGTACGCTCATGTATTAATGGAAAGTGGTCGACGAAAACATATTTCCTTATACCAGCTTCACAAAACACGTACAATACAGCCATCATTTAATACAAACAGATGCTACAAGAAGCTGAATAAACATTAATGTTAAAATTTGCATTTTGTAATGTCGTATACTTAATTTAAAAATAATTTAACGCTGGCTGAAAACATTTATTTAAAAACTATTGTCTGTTTTAATATTAATTTATTCACATATCAAAAATTCTTAAACAAATAATGTTTCCTTTGATGAGAAATAGTATCAGTATGTTTTGGTCTAATTTTACTTTACACTTATGAAAACTATACTTGCTTCTTCTGCAAAGATATGACCTAGCAACCAAGAAAATTACGCGACAGCGATGTTTTTGAAAAGTTGATCATGTTAATGTTCCTAAGTACTTATAATATTTACTGTATTTGTTTATTGTATTGCCACTATGGTGGCAAACAAGCGTACAGATCATCTGTGGTAAATGTAGCGTACCATAGCCTATAGACCTGAATCACCAATGTGTCACGTGAGATACCTAAATGTACCTTTTCTGAAAAACTTGTTCTGTTCTCTTAAATAAATTATGGAAATTAAGTAATTATATTATTTCAAATATTTACAGTTTTAAGAACTATAATTTAATTATTTTTCTTACTATCTGCGATCAACCAATCAAAAATTTCATGTTTCATGATTGTTCTATTAAAAGTAACATTATAGTTTTAATAAAAGCCCGTATACATATTTTCATAAGAATTAATCGAGTCACGGTACGTACAGAGCCAGCATATCTTAACCAGCAGTCAGCAGAATTATTTTTAGACATGTTCGAGGCACCTTATTTAGTATGTATACAATTGGTATGAGAAAATTAATATAAAGAACTGTTTTATACAACACCCGTTTTGTTGATATAAATGTAAATAAATGTCAAGTTTAAACGCATTTGTTTCTTTTATCTCATTTTCAGTCATTTAAAAAGGTAACTAAAGAGTATATAAGTATTACTAAATTGTTTGAGTTCTACAGCTTACTTCTGCGACTTAGTATTGGATGTGAAGGAATTTCGTAATCACAGCGTCATTCATTTTTTATAGAAAAAAATATAGGTACTTTTAAAATGTTTAATTAAAGACCTTTAAAGGGATTAATGAACTGTCTTAGTACTTTAATAAACAACTAATAACATGCAGTGAAGACATTTTTGTATGTAAATAATATTTTTATAAAAATAGCATGACAAGTAATTTCTGTATCTATATAAATAATACAATATAACACTGTGGTATGGAATACAGATAATTTAAAATATCATGAATTTAAAATTATTCTATAATTTCCGGATGCAGATAAGTACTCAGTGAACTTACTATATTGTATCTAAATATTTTAATCCTAAAGTAGGTTTCTTTCTTTCTCTTTCGCTCCATAACGGATTAATGAACGTAGAATTGGGAGTGAATTATATAAAGCTAGTTTATATCCCTGACAATCATAGTCGCACGACACGCGATAGACTCGAATGGCCTAATAAATTTGACATGGGAAATCGTATTATTATAATAATAACCTTAGACAATTCACACAGCGCCATCTAGTCCCAAGTTAAGCAAAGCTTGTATTATCGGTATTAGACAAATAATAGAAATAATTAGATATATATTTTTTGTAAATAGAAATACAAATTACTTACAAAACACCCGGCTTGTTACAAACTTACCCATGAATAGTCAACAAACATTTGGTTTACATCCTTGTGAGGAATCGAACCCACGATCATCAGAACTGGAGTGCTAAACTGCTAGACCACAGAGTCCCTCATTCAATATTGATTATTATCATTCTATACATTAGACACGTCATCATCATCGTTAATCCCTTACATTTAGACAAGCAACTTAATAAAAGAACTAGATAACTTTTAAACAAATATTTATTTTCCTAGTCATTACCAAACTTCTTTACATCTTCATGTGTTTTTTCAGTACTTGCAGTATCGTCTTTGTCAACAACCGATTCTTGTTTAGTTCCAAGTGGTTTTACCTGCTTTATTAAACCATTCTCGTCTGCTAATGGCAAAATATCACATATTAGTGGCGTTTCGACCCCTAGTATGTAATGGCAGGTCCTAGGTTCCAGCAAATAAAGTGACACATGAGCAGGACTCGACGAGTTCTCCAAACATTTCAGCTTCACTTCTGTCTGGCGAGGCCTACCAGTCTTGTCGCAAACATCGCCGTCTGAATAAAAGTGGGATACTGATGTTCGGTATTCTGTAATTAAGATATTTAAGTTAATAAATTGTTGTATTGGTGATGCGTAAGGTGACGATAACTTAACATCGGCGTCTGAAACTCGAACGTACAGATATTTAAAAAACGGCTTTTAAAAAGGTTGACTGCAATAAAATTCACCGCACACATTTGGATCTCAATAGCACGTACGCAATACAATATAGTAAAACTGTATTTAGATAGAACGGGCAAAATATTGTCAAAAAATAGTCATGAGGTGTGGCAGCTTTGAAGTAAATTGTGAATTGTTACTCATTACAATTTAAGCAATTTAAGCTCTAACATAAGTGCATAGATGCGATTTTTGTATGTAATTCTCGATCTGTATCCATTTTCAGTCTCCTCAGAGAGATATAGTAATTGAATTGCAGTTGTTTCCTGTACCTGTTTTACTAATCAGTAACTAAAAACTAATATAAATTAAAAGAAAATCTATATGGTCGTCGGTCTTGAACGAATATTAACGAAATTTGATTTCACTACAGATCATTACGAGCAACTAGTATATACTATAAAATATGTCCCAATGAAGCAGACAAAGTTCTACAACGCATGGCGCTTTTAAATGAGAACTAAACAATACACTAAAATCTCAATTATTTACGAATAATAATAATCATCTTAATTTGCCTCAAGTAATAAACTATTACGATTGCTGCTTGTAATAAAATTTAGAAGTAATAATAATCGAGACAAAACGATCTAAAACTCAGAGGGAGCAGTGAGTCTACCCTTTATGTTGTCGTTAGTATTTTTATGGGTTAAAAACATATTAAATTTATCAATTAAACTCACCAACGGGTTTGGGCATCCTTGCTACATTCGCCTTAACCCAATCAAGGTGTTCTTGCTCATCAAATTTTCCCAATAACAGCGTAGTCTTGTCGCCGTTGCGATCCACGTGATACTGGATCACATGTTTCCCATAACAAAACTCGTACTTCCACCAACCGCTGCCCTGGAAAACATAACAATTTTAATCCTTGTTATACATTTATTTATTTTCAAATTATTAATATGCTATATAAATATTAATATTCAAATAAAAAAAATATTTCCATCTTTAACCAATTGAATGGGATTGCGTATTACTAATATACACAATAAACACCGGGGTAAAAGGGTTGTTAGTAATTGCTAGCTAATGTAACATGTCAGGTTGACGTCCACATGGTTTGCCCTGGAAACTATCGTAATAAATTCATGGTGAATTTAGCATGGCCTAACTAAACTGACCTCGTGTCCATCTTATAATCCTCCACTGGTGCCCCGCCAGCGTAAACCGTTAGCACGGGCGGGTGCAGAATTTCATTATCATAAAAAACACTAATAATAATAATGAATGAGTTTTTATGATAAAATTTTTATTGGAACAATGTTTGCAAATATATAAAAATACTTTTGAAATGTGTTTATAATTGACCAAGTTCTGAAATAAGAAACAAACATAAACAGAAAAAACCCAATTAAACATATGACGACCTTTAACCTAAGACGTAAGAGAACGGGCCGTTCCAGTAAAATTTACATTATATCTGATTTAAGACTGGTCTTTGAAAAAATTAAAATTTTTGTACTTACGTAGTAGTAGTAATTCACTAGTAAATAATTGTAATATGTATAAAAATAAAAATAAATCTTGCTTGTCTATGGTATAATATGGTTTACGGAGAAGTATGGTACTTAACATTGTGACACGAGACATATATATAAGAAGATATTCTTACTCCATGCAAACAATTCTCCCCGTTAAGAAACGCTCGAACTGGTGAATCATCTGTAATGACTGGGTACATCTTGTCAATAGCTGGCATCACTTTATTGGCACTATCTGTTAAACCTTCATCTTCACTCAACGGATGCAACTCGAATTTCAGGTGGGTTTCGCCATCCTAAAAAGAATTGTACACATGTAATTACCCAACTGTAGGAGAATGGAGAGTGATGTTATTTGGGTGTGTAACCTGAAATTTAAGAAAAAAGCTACGTAGCTGAAAATGAAATTAAAACATGCCTCAACTTCAACACCATATCATCATAAAATTAAACTCAGTTGGCTGTCTAGCTTATTAGTGATCTGGCGTGTAGATAGATAGGAAAATAAACGGCATAAAATAATAATAATAACTTTATTGCACACAGATAAACAAAGAAAAATAAAAGTACACAATAAACATTTATACTATTATTAAAAACACAAAAGTATGTCAGTCTGTTTGTGACCTTTGACGGCTAAACGACTGAATTAACGAAAATGGAATCAAAGTTGGTAACATAAGATTGTGTCAGGAGAAAGTTTTTCGATATCTGTAATAGTTTGTTTGTTTCACTTAACAATTACATCTTGTTTATCGTAAAACACATGTATTTATAATAACAAAACATTATTCTCTTCATTCTAAAGAAAGTGACATAACACCACACATATGTAGAACGGATTTGTAGGTTTTAGTTTATATGGATTCATTCCATAATATGTATAATAATAGTGTTTTATTAATAACGTGTTACTTTTTTTTATTTATTATGTTTTACTGTCCTGGATACAAATTCAGTCCTTTTGAGCCCATCTTAACTTAATCTCATACCGTCGATAATGTGTCCAGATAACGCGTTCTATCCTACAATACACTTACCAAATATATTGCCATCTAAGTACTACAGTGACATAAATACTTATTATGTAAAATAAATATATATATTTAATATAAAATAATGTACATACTAAATATATAAGAAATAACTAAATAAATCAATTACCTTATCGATCTTTTCAACTTTCAATACAGCAAGTATATCCTTAGGCTCATTATCCTGAATATGCCAACACAAATGTTAATCAAGCTTCTAATTTCTACACAAAACAAATAAATACAAAGTAATTAAGTTAATTAAACAAACACTTAAAAACAAACACGTGAGTTTAACTACTCGTGAAATACAGTGGGACCTAAACAACACGCGAACCACTAACTATGAATCTATCTCTAAAATAATCTGAGAAGGGTTTATTTTAGAGATAAACTTATAGTTTCTATAAGTGAATTTCATCCATTATAATTAAACACAGAACAATTAAAACAGCATCATTTAGTAGTCACGAACCAGGACTTGTCCTATATATATTATACAACTGATAGAAATACAAAAATATTTTTTTAAATACCCATATACAAAGAAAACAGTCGAATTACAAACAAATGATTGTTGAATATCAAATCAATCATAAATATAAACAAATATCTATCGTTTGCGAAACGAATATGTGAGTTCGTATAGACGTATCGTAAGTAAGACTGTATGCTGAACTGGTACACAACTGATGTCGTTAATATTATTAAAAAAAAAGAATTATATCAAATTTTTATCTTTACCATACGAAAAGTACACGTACAATACGAAACATTTCTTAAAAATGGATGAAATTCGTACAAAATTCAAATAATGAGCAGTGAACACTCAAAAACAATTTACAGCATAATACATAATATATAAACAAACAAATTTACAAAACATACAGCAAAATAGACTTACGTTATTCAAAAGTCGAACAGACTGGTGATGGAACCTCAAACTGTCCACTTCCATTTTCAACAGATTCCTTGGCTTCTTGGGTGCACCATCCACGGGGTAACAGTTTATGTTGTTCTCTGTGACATCACTCGGTTTAAACTGCGGGTGTTCACACAACAGCGGCGACAGAATTATTATCTCATATTCACATGTGGATGTCTCTTTGAATGAGTACACTTCATGTTTGCCATGTGCGTAGCAAACATACAACACTCGAGTAAGACGAGGTTTCCCACTGAGATCACATATTGTACCTGTAATTAAATAACCATTAATTCTAGTAACACCCGAAATGCAATAAAAAAAAAGTGTAATGTACTAGTTCTGTGCCGGATCATTAAAAATGTATATATATGTATCCGATATGGATATGATGTGACAAAATTCGCGGTTACGGATCTTTGTATTCTTATTAAATCGCTGTCGGCACGCAAGACCTCAAATTGATAGGTGGCGCATACTTTGAAGAATGAACTAGATTATCATTTTACTGAATTTGAAAAAAACTTTTAGAAACCTCAATTTTAGACCTACTGTAAAAAAATAAATTGTTCAGTCATATATAAGTACTATGTATTCAGTCTCATAAGAAATAAAAAAGAAATTGCTTAAAATTTTAGAAACTGATGAAAATCTCAAAGTATCTTATAGCTACTTTGAGTACTGGAGTCAAACCAATCACTGTTAGAATGAAATGCATAACGATATCCAGTACATCACTAGTAGTAACAACTAGATCAATTAAATAGGGAATTTAATTGGCCTCAAATTTAAAATATATTTATGTATTATTACCAGGTTGATGTGCTATTACCATTACATTAAAGTTATCCAAGAGGTACACTATAAGAAGTTGTTTGCATGGTTACACAAGTCTCTTTATTTTAGTTGCCAAGCTGCGAGCATTTGTAAGTTATGTCAATCAGTTGCAGGGCGCAGATTAGGCTGTGACCAGTAACCATAATAGTTCCAATGCAATGTTAACAAAATTAATGAGTAAAACAAAAAATATATAATGTACTATATTAATAAAAGTATATACCATGAATGGAAATGGAGAGGATGACTGAAAAAAGATGGAAAAGAAAAAGTAAAGTATGGTCAGACATGATGGCTGATAGGGATCAGTGGAAGAGGATGACATACAGCGCCGATGACAAATAATGGGATAAAGACAAGGCTTCTATAAGTGATAAGACAGTTAAAGTGAATATTCAAATATTTAGTTACCTTCATCCAATACCATTTCAACATATGGCAAGTTGAGTCCCTCTACTTTAGTAGTCTTTGGCAGTTCTTTGGTTTCTTGGGCAGCCTTGATGTCTGACTCCAGTTTGACTTGCTTTGCCGTATTCCAATGGCCAAGATAAAACTCCTGAGTTTTGACTTGTTTACCTGAAAATTAATAATAATAATATTTAGTGATAGAAATAATAACAACTTTTATTTAAATAAAAGTAATAAAATATGGATGATGAGCAGTAGAATGAAGAAACTTTTTTATTAGAATAAAAAAAAATCTTTTTTATTCTACTAGTCTTTCAGAATGCATATATGCATATATCAGAATGCATATACGGACAAGACAAATGTTCAAATATGCTGCCTGTTGCTATTTTAAATAAAATAATAATAAAATCATATAATCAAAAAGTATTTTTTTAAATCTATTATGATGAATTTTGAAGCTAATAGTACAATAAAATTTATTTTACGTTACTTGTGATGCTCCAATAATGCACAGGTGTGACATATTTGACATCTATAGATATAAATAAAATTGGAGTGTCTGTTTGTAATATTGAATCAACCGTTTTTTTACTACATGCATATGAATATAAATATCATTTTTTTCAATTTTTGTCAGTGTCTTTTTGTTCCAGCTAATCTCTGAAAGGGCTGTACTAATTTTGATGGGACTTTTTTTTGGCAGGTATCTGATGTAATAAGGAGTAACTTAGGCTACTTATATTTAAAAAAATAAAGTTATATCCCATGTGGATGAAGTCACGGGTACAGCTAGTACAGTAATAAATTCACAAGCAACTTAGCATGCACAAACTCTCATAAACTAATTCACTCCCTTAGTGATTATTATTTCAGATAAAAGATAGCCTATATCCACCATAATCATATTACACATATTCATACTAAATTTCATTACGAACCCTTCAGCCTTTTAGTTGTGAAAAGCTGATAAACAGACTTTTGAACTTATAATAAAATATAGAGAGAAAAAAACAATGTCTCAATGTGACATATCATTAGTTAAATAGAAAAATGGCAGTATTCAAAATGTACACTTTTTTACAAGACAAGCATTTAAAGTTTTTACACAGAAGTATTATATATCATTTTAAAAGCATTTAGTTTATGATTAAGACGGTGTGTTAATTGACTTACATAAAAGGAGGCAATTCTAGCTTCTAATTTTGAAAAAAGTCTATTTTCTATTTAAACAACAATATGTATACCTTACCATCTCTTTCCTCATGGTACTGTCTAATGTACCTTCCATGGCACACCTCATAACTCCAATAACTCTCTAACCGATAAGAACATATCTTTTGAGAAAATATAGGTTTCAGAAGATTTAGAGGAGTCGGCCCATTATACTCTTCAATACCAGTAGACTCCTTCACTCTCACCTCTGGTATGTGACACTCATAATTTTCATTAATTGATGTTTTGACTTTTAACACTTCTTTGTTCTGAAAAATTTGTGAGTCAATAATTTCTCAGGTTTTTACATATTACTAGAAAGATGCCATATCATGTTTTTGGTATTGTTATGAAAAACATCCTAATAATGCTATAGTTTAAAGATTTCTTTGAAGGTTTGTGTTAAGCCAACTCACTGTAGACTTGGTTGTGGTATTACTAAATAACTATCAAGAAAACCATCAGAAAAAATACATATTATATGTTCTATTATAATTTACATTATTAACATATATTGTAATTAGATATTAGATTATAATTTCATAAAATTTATTCTCGAAACAAAACTTACCTCCAATTTATTAGCATCTCCATCTATTAAATTTTCAATATTCTCTGGAGTACCCGGCCAATTTATACCGAAAAGAATTGTATCATCAAAGCCTTTAAAATCATGCCCTACACCTAAATCCAATTGAACAGCACAAAATACCAGAAGTAGTGTATTTAACATTTTATTTTTTTACAGGTACATATTAAAATGATACTGAATATTGTTTTCTTTTGATAATATATGCAATTCTAGAATATTAATACACAAATCCCGAAAATAAATTAACGTAGACTATCTATAAACTTACAAAAAAAGTTGTATAAACATTCTTAAAGATTCCGTATATGTAGGCTGCTATTTAATTCAGACGCATTACATATGAGTTGGACATCTGTCATTAGACATTAAAAACAAGACAAGGAACAATATATATACAACCATATACACAGATTATAAAAGAAGCTCACTAACTCTATTATAATATTATAACGCAACCATGTTGGAGATAAAACAATTACCATTTAGGTTTTATGCCTTTAAAAAGTTTGTATATAAAAAGGCATAAATAAATGATGGCAATTCTAAGACTAAAGAAACAATGTGCCAGGAAGGAAAACTTCAGGGTCGTAAAATATTTAATAATAAAAAAAATGTTGTAATTTGTTTTCATCATTCCTATATAATGTCAAAACCACCTTCACAAATTTTTTTAAAACACCGTTTCAAAATAAAAAAAAAGCTGTTTCAATCGTTTTCCTTTTGTCAATTAAGATGTGACAGGCAGGCATGTGATCTCGTTCCTTGGTATTAATCTATGAAAAGTTTCTCATATACGTCAATGTCACTTAAATATTTTTTGTCAAAATGGCGTTTAGCTTCCCAGCTTTTTCTTATATTATCGCTTTAATAATTGACGCTTTTCTCATATTTTTCTCTATATTCCATGTTATAGCATTTGATGAACTAAAGACTGATTACAAAAACCCAATAGATCAGTGCAACAGTCTTAATCCTGTAAGTTTTGACCTTCAAGAAAAGTGTTTGTTTCAGGTGCTTACATTATTTACTCATTGTTATTTTGATTTCAGCTGGTATTACCGGAGTATTTACTGCATTTATTTATAAATGTTCTATTCCTGTTATCGGGAGAATGGTTTTCATTGTTGATAAACATTCCTTTGATCTTGTACCATATACACAGGTAAGATATTTTAGGTTATGTTTATTTCGGTACACTAATTTAAAGCTCAAATTCAATTAATGTTTTATATTATTGTTTATTTTAAGGACAGAAATGTGAATGGCGGGTGCATTATAAAAATCTTATGAGTATTCTTGATTAATTATAAATATAAAAAAAATTTCAGATACTATACAAGGCCCGTGATGTCAGGGCCGGGTCTATATGATCCTACAAGCATTATGAATGCTGATGTTTTAACAGTTTGCCAACGAGAAGGCTGGATCAAGCTGGCATTTTATCTGTTGTCATTCTTTTTATATCTTTATGGGTTAGTAAATTCTTTCCATTAATATTTACTTAATGTAGGTATATTAATGATGTAACACACAACAAAATAATTATAAGTACACAAACAAAATTCATATATCTGCTAACCTTAAAATAATTAAAAGTAGTATGTAAGATACTCAATACATATACCTAAGTCTTGGTCTTACCTTTGAATTTTCTATTTTGTATTGCAAACAATAATTCTTTTTTATTACATGCAGTAACACTTTTTATTAAAGTCATAATGTACAAGATAAAAATCTTTTTCTATCTTCTACATGATATTTTGAGAATTTTTCTAACAAGTTATCATTTTCAATTATTGTCGATTTCAATAATTCGGCCTTGGGGTTAAATACATTTATTTTTATATATTATATATATTTATCATAAGAAGCATTTTATTAAAATCAAAGACTTAAAAATAAATATAAATTATCTTCTTTTTTCCTTAATAAGCCACCTAAAACTTAGTTATAATACTGATGCAAGATGCAAGCATGTTGATATAAATTAAATACTCGTAAATTAATTCTATTGCATCATAAAATTATTAATGGTATGATATAATTAATCATTCTATTTAGAGTTCAAAGTATATAAAATATAGATGAAACAAAATGCAATGTGATGAATTCAAAAATTTAACTTTATCACAGTGCAAAGTATACTCAGATGTAGTAGATAACAATTTGGTTAATAGCTCACTCACAGGCCAAACTATACAATTCATTTTATAGTGTATACAAAAGATTAACTTCACAAGACACTTTAAACAAGTATATAAGACTCCACATAGAAATCAGAAAAAATATTGGAATAAAAATCTTGTTCCAATCCATTCTGCAATGCCAAGTTTTTGTTTATTATTCATTTTGTTGAAATCCAGACAAAGAACTAATTCATATTTATATTAATTTCTTATAAAAATTGTTACATTTTTACAAAGATATAGCATACAAAAACTCTAATCAAATATGAAACCAAACAAATATAAAATCAAAATCTGATTCAATCAATTCATGATCATAATTCAAGTAATATGTGCATTAATACTATAATTAGTGTATTATATAATACTAATATTTTATGTATAAAATGTAGATATATTAATTATTCTCTATATTTATGTTAATTTTTCTACTCCTTCACCGTTCCACTTCCCCTGCAACTTCCACTTGTATTATTAAATCATATCAATTTATTAATGTTTTTCTTACAGAATGATTGTGGTGTTGATTGCTGCATAAATTATATGAAGTTGTTATCTCCATTAAGTAATTTATTGTTAGAACTCTATGGATAATACCAATCAAGCGAACAAGTGGAATGTTTCTTCTCAGTTTACCTCAGTGTGATTGGACAGTATTTTGATAATAAAGTTTCATATAAATTAATGTATTGCATTGCTTATTTATATCTATAAACTTGTACAAGGCTAACAATTGACCTGATAAACTTGCCAAGACTGACAAGCAATCAATAGGCAATGATCATTCAATAGTTCAATGTCTAAGGACAATGCCTAAGAGTAGTCACACATAACGCAATCTTTTTTGTAAATCAAAAAGCTACCTACATTAAGTAATAAAAATAAACATTGTTTCATATGTATGTTCCTAAAATCAGTTACGAACTATTTTGTGCCGGGCCTATTTTTCGGTACACTACCTCGATATCACCAAGAATAATGTTCTATTTTCATAAAATTACAAATTTAAATTGACTTGCGGATGCCGGTACCATGAACGAAGTTATAAAGCTATATTGTACAACTCGATCTGCGTGTCAACAGTAAAACTTTTTTATTTTTCTTTCTCTTTGTATACATATCTAACTAAACGTAACTAGAATTATCAAATAGTTCAAGTTCTAATAATCTGAGACTATAATCATCTAGCTTTAGTAGGAAACTAGTGGGCTAAATGCTAGCAATGTTTTCCATCTGGTTTATAAGATCAGGAAGAAGTTAGGCCGTGGTGAATATTTCTCCATATAATTTTCAAGAATTGACTTACGCTAAAATTGTATTTAGAATTACTACGTGAAATTTAAGTTCCCAAGTAGGTAGACAGGCTCAGTAAAAAGTTTAGGTCTATGACTTAAACCAAGACAAAGACGAATCTACACAACAGATTCTGGAGGGCTTAGGTATCTAGTGACAACAATATGAGCGTAGGTACTGTTTGATAATAACATAAACAAATCATTTCAATAAACCAATTACTCTACGCATTTATCACGACCATATAGAATAAAAATTACTGTAGTTTTAAGCAGAGACTAACAGATATGACGACTAAAAATAAATAGAAATAATCTTTATTCAAATAAACTTAATATAAGGAAATTTGAATTGGTAACGTAGACTCATCCATCACTAGAAGAATGAACAGATAAATGATATACCAAGCAGGATGTAGAAAAGGAAAATGGATGACTAGTTTAAATTAAACAATTCACATACATAAGTTAATTACCTACACCTAAAATATACACTGAGCCTAAAAATAAATGTTGAATGATTTGCCAAAAACTATTTGCGATAAATATATTTGTTTAGACACGTTGTTACTGCATGGACAGTTTTATCTAACACTATGATTGCCTGTACATGATTAACTTTTCCTTATCTATCTCCCAAAAAACAAGGTAAGTACGTCATAGTCTACATAACAATAAGTCAAAGTAAGTAAGTAAAGTTAGATATAAAAAGTGCCAATAACAAACTAAATCTCCGCTTCTGAAATGATATACATACATATCATATAAGAGACAGTAGCGTAGTTAGGTAACAAAGGGCCCTGGGGAAAATAAAAAAATGGAGCCACACTGCTCAGCAGTGGAGCCCTACATTAAAGTTTTATTAAAACGAACATATCGCTATCCGTCAATTTGATGACACTGTCAACCCACAGAAAGAATTTCGGGAACTTTTCCGAAGGTATAACTGTCGAATTTCTCTCAACTGTGTTGGCATGATTAAAGTCGGGTTGCAACCTGTCATATTTATTTTGAAAATGGGAGAAATTTTGAAAAATTCAGTTCAATAGAAATTTTATGGTAAGGATTCGAGGGCCCCAGTGCACTGCCCCGGCTAGCTCCTAGGTAACTACGCCACTGATAATAGAGAGTCTTCCGCCGCGTCTGTCCATATGTTCAGGATAAAACTACGAAACAATTTTTCTTTCTTTCTTTCTTTCAAACAGAGTTACAGGCGGTTTCCATCATCAGTTATTTTTGAGGAATGTTTAGGCGTATAATTCATTAGTTTTGTGTAAATTAATAGCAGAGCAAAACCAGGGCGAGTCGGTAGTATGGTATACAAATATGTATATTTCATATACGATCGTGGTGATCCAGTGGATTAGCACATTACTTACAATGTTCGTGAGTTCGGTTCTCGCACTATACACACATTTATTTGATTTTGGGTGTGGTTCGCGAATATGAATAAATGATTTTGATTTTGGTTTAAATAGACCAGTAACAGAATATATACGAAAAATACAATTAACAGTAGGTATTGTTATTCAAGACTGTTTACTATACATCTTTTGCATTATAAATAATTTACGAGGCATTGTCTTAGACGACAATACTCCAACAATACCAATTACAGAAGAATCTCGTATAATTCATATGAGAATTGACTGTTTACTTCCGCTAACTCTGCGACTCGATATGGACATCTATTATTTTCTCTTGCGTGTGGAAATAGTACCTACTATTCATGTACATTATAATTTTCGCAAACGAGAGTGTGTTAACTCCATCCTTACATATTTGCAATATAGAAATACGGTATATACATGAGAAATATAGTTACAAGATATATTCTTATAAATATTATTTTTTACAAGTAAGGGATGCATAACACTATTATTTTGTAGAATAAAGCGCAACTAGGCAACAGTGTAGCCGCGCGGTGTACGTAACGAGTAAGGAGTAAGTGCCACAACATGAGGCACGCCATTTTAAAACAGAAAAACCATAACTACCTAATCGTACAAAAGTAGTCTATCTTAATCTAGTATATTTCTTAATGTAGTAATATGTTAAATAAAACCATAATAATTTGTATTTACAAAGATCAAAAATATACTTTTATAAAACAGTACTAAACCTATCAAAGGATATTATGTTAGTTTAGAGTTTGTGCTTTGTGCATATTAAGTTGTGATTAATTATAAAAATAGTATAAAGTACCAAAATAAAGTTTCGTATCGTTTTTTGATCAATTGTAAATGTACAAGAATTCATACTAAACTAGTAATGTTGTCAGTCAGATTTAGAAGCTCTCAAAAAAAATACCGTTCACTAAGTTTTTCATCAAGCAATCTGCAGTAAGTTATGAACTGTAAATTTACGACCTAATTGTTTGTAGCGGTCAGTAGGTATTTTATTCATAGCTGGCAACCGTATTCGCTAACTGTAAATTCGCAGTGTTCGTTCATTGACAAAAAGTCCCTTCACAATACTTACCGTTATTAAAAATTGCAATTCGTATTCGCATGGTAGCTGCCGACCGCCGAAAGTTAGCATAGATTATATATATATACTTTGTAACAGTACAAAAATTCCACTTGATATTAAAATGTCCTACTTACCTTTCCGGTAATGGTAAACACCGTTAATGCTAAAAAAAATTAACCGTTAATACGATAATATTGTTTTTTGTTTTATTATCGTTATATTCTTCATTAATCCATTACTTAGAAGTTGCGCCACAACATATACACATTAAATACGAAAGTTTAAAAAAAAATAATGTTCACAAAGCCAGGAATAAATTACGTCAACCATTTTCTCTCGCCCGAAGACATATATGGTTGTTAAAACTGTTGTATTTTGATTCCTATTATCAGCTGCAGCGGGTATCAGATGTTCCGGGGGTGACTTGAGGAGCAGCACCCTCGCAAAGATGTAAAGAAAGCAGTAATTTCCTCACCCACGTAACAATATCTGACGATCACTAGTCTTTAATAGATGGTCGCAATTCAACTGTTCTAAAACAGCATGCAATAGCCCAAACCCCTCAAAAATGGGGGAAGGGATGGTTAGTAATGTGGACTCATGACCCCATTACTAGCAATGTACCATGTCAGGTTGACCTCCACGCGGTTCACGCGAATTTACCACGATGGGCTAACTGACCTGACCTCATGCTCATCTTGTCATCCTCCACTGGTGCCCCGCCAGCGTAAACCGTTAGCGCAGGCGGATGCACCATTCCACTATCTTTAAAAAAAAACCCTCAGAAAAACCTAGACTTTACTAATGTATTACATTGTAATTGAGAAAGAAATGACAGGAAACCAGAGATGACGTTTTCTACTGCAGATATTCCATGCAAGTACAATGGAAAGTGAGTAGAAATTATATGAACCGGCTTTATGTGAAATCTATTAACTACCCGACAGTCAAGTAATTAAGAACTATCCATAAATAACGTCATACGTAGGGTTTTTTTTAATGAATGATAATGATATATTGCACCCGCCTGCACTAACGGTATACGCTGGCGGGGCACCAGTGGAGGATGATAAGATGATTATGAGGTCAGGTCAGTTAGCCCATCGTGACAAATTCACCAGGAATTTATCAAGATGATTTCCAGGGGAAACCGCGTGGAGGTCGGCCCAACTTGATACATTGCTAGCAAAGGGATCATTAAACCCCATTACTAACAATTCCTTCCCCCGGGGGAGGAGGTTAGATAAAGTGTATATAACAAAGTGTTAGGGGGGTCACAAAACTTGGTTTAAAAGACATATCAACACAGGCTCATTTCAATTATAATATTTAAATACGAAGTTTGACTGATATAATGAATGAATACACTCGTTACGGTGGTCTAGCGGTTTATCACATCGTTTTACTTTTCTGATGATCGCGGGTTCAATTCCTCTCACGGTGCAAACATTTTAAACAGGCGGTTTACAAAAACCCACTACATTTTATTTTAATTTAATAGTTACTAGTATTTCTATTAACATATATTATTTATGTTGTTAACAATTTTATATTCGAAAATGCTTACTATACATTAAGTTTATTTGAATAAATTATTTTCTATTCTATTTTATTCTATGCTACTACAAGTAGTGTATTGGTATACGTTATCAAGGCGCTGAGTAATTTAGGTACCCATTACTCAGTTTAATTTAGATACTGCATAAAGTTAGTCATGAAAATATAATATATATGTACCTACTTCAGATATGTATGTACCTACTTATTTATAGATATTACTTTTAGGCATGTCGAACAAATAGGCAAAATGCCGTTTTATCTTTTTGGTTGGAAATCCACTATTTCTTTAGCACCGACTTTATGTATCACAAGACTATATTACAGAGATTACATACTTTCGATTTTTTATTCAGATTTCCTTTTCACTCAGTTGACCCACTTGTAATGAAAAGGAAAAAATACTTCCATTTAGTTTAAACTAGTTTAACTCTGCTGTCATATAAATAGAGTTTATTTGTACTTTCCCGAACCGCTTAGTGCTATTTTTAGGCTATGTAGGTATCGACTTTCGATGGAGAACGGTAACAAAATAATATTACCATTTTATCATAAAATTTTCTGATGTTAAAAGAAAGTTACTGTTTTTAAAGGTGAACGTAGGTTCATACTATCACAGTTTTTGAGAATATAAAAGTTTTATTTTTAACTATTACTGTCTATTACATATTTGTTGAGAACCTTATATGCACCTGTCTACCTCCCACTTGACTGATTTTTTTATTTTATAACGCCGTTAAATTTTTTAAAATAATACCAGCTTACCTGTGCAACTTCGTCTGGGTCACACTTTCCTTATTTTTGCAAATTTTTTCATTGCAGCTCCGCATCTATTATTCGTCATGTTATATTATTTAGCCTTGATAAATGTGCTATCCAACAAAAAAAAAACAAACCGGAAAAATAGTATCGAAGATTACCTCGAACGTCCAAACTCTTAAATTTTACATTTTTATAATATGTTTTCCTTATGGATGATGATAATAGAATGGTGCACCCGCCTGCGCTAACGGTTTCCGCTGGCGGGGCACCAGTGGAGGATAATAAGATGAGTATATCAGGTCAGCACATCATGGTAAATTCACTATGAATTTATCACGATGGTTTTCAGGGGAAGACTAATCCACACACGTGGAGATAATGAATGGATAAAACCACGTGGAGATTAATCTGACATTGCTAACATTACGGTTATTGGTCCACTTTACAAAAAAATCCTCTTCCTTCCCTCTTTATAATATTAATAATATAGATAAGTACCTATTAAGTAAGTTATTATTCGTTATCAAGCCACTAGAAACTGGACCTAATGTTAATCAGCTTGCTTTAGTGCATTAAATTATTATTGAGATCATAACATATCTATCTACCTACTTATATACACTTTTAGGGTTCGCACTGGAAATGATAGAACAGGACACTGTAAGTGCAACTTTGTCTGTTACGGCGCTATTCGTATATTCCAATAATAAATAATCTCAGGACAATTCACACAGTGCCATCTAGACCAAAATTAAGCTACCAAAAGCTTGTGTTATGGGTACTAGATAACTGATACAAATACATAGATATGTTTTTTTTTTTCGTAAATACATACATATTATACATAGAAAATACACAGACCGATCGGTGTGCTAAACCGTTAGACCACCGAGGCCGTCAATAATAACTAGTGATATCATGAAATAAAAAAATAATACAGTTTTAAAGAGCGTGCGACGTGTATTTGGAAATGTTAGAAATGCTACAGATTAAGTGGAGTAGAAGTAGTAAAATAGTAGTAAGTGTTATACTATAAGAAAAGGTGTCATTTGTACATTCCAAAACTGCTTTCATAATATTTTGTGCCACTTAGTTTTTAACGTACGATGAAAAAATTAAGAACAGTATTACTTTGCCTAATCTCCAAAGAGTCCACAGCGATAAATCAATAATAGGTATGAAATAAAAGAAATTTTGTTGACTAAGATTACCCACTTAAAAATGGAATAGAATTAGATACATAATTAATTTTAATTTTACATAAAATAGAATTATATATATTATATAAAGGCACATACACAATTTTCTTAAAAATGTAGGAAAATGCATCACAAATAATTATGTACTAATAACATTAATACCATCGTCTACTTCCTGTGAATTCCTTTTACTACGACAAACGTAGACCATATAATAATATCAAAACTTGCTTTTATTCTTATAAGGAACCCTCGTGTATAAATACAATTCACACTTCCGAGATTTTTGTTATGGAATCGCTGACTTAACATGTTATACACTGCTTGCTGTATTTATTTGGTATCAACGACCTCTGTAGTGCAGCTATAGGCACTTTGCTTTATGCTAACGACCTCACTGGGTCACCTGATTCACGGTCAAGAAAAGTCAAAAAGTCCGGTTTGGGTGCGCTAGTGATCAAATTTGATTTTAGTTAACACCAGGCACAGAATATCAGAATAATTATTCTACAGGATAATAAAATATATTTCCTGCTTTTGCCCACCACTTACTCGTTTAATGTTTAATAAAATAATATCGACTTAGGATAATAGTCGTCTAACATTAATTCGTTAAACGTCAGTTCATCAAATCAATTCACTTTCATTTTGAAAGCATAGATAATCGTAAACTAGCGAACTAGCTACCTACTTAATTTATAACAATCCTACATATAAAAGAAAAAAATATCCCCAATTTGAAATAAAATCACATATTATTGTAGCTTCTTCAATGTGACATTAATCTCTTAACGTTCGTCTCCGTTATCAGTTTAAAAACAATAACAGTTAGTTTAATTGGCTACATTCAGTAAATAATCATGCATAATTATATCAGTCACTGTGGAAATAAAACTGCAATAATATTCATTTAGATTAACATTTGCTTTATACGTGTCCAGTGTAGTGATGGTACGCGCGCGTTAAATATAACTACGGGAACGGAACACGAAAACCCGGTGGGGGGTAACTCTCCACATTGATTCAGTATACACTCGTCTTGGAATCAGTCGGTGCGATGCGCGCGCTTTTTCTACCCGTCACCGCGCTTTTACTCTTCCATTATGGGGACGCCGCTCGCATACTCGGCCTCTTTCCCCACACAGGCAAAAGCCATCAAATGGTATTCGAGCCTTTACTGAGAACGTTAGCGGAAAGGGGCCATCATTTGACCGTCGTGTCCTTCTTCCCTCTGAAAAATCCGCCAGAAAACTACACCGATGTCAGCTTGGAAGGTATCGCTGCAGTTGGAGTCGAGACTATCGATTTGGCCTGGTTCGAAGCGCCCAAAGGATTTTTAAAGTTAACAGGAGTTAGCACGATTATCCAGGTATTGAATGCATTCGCTCCACTGAATGAGATGGCAGTGAACGTTTGCTCAAAATTAGTGAGCTGGCCACCGCTAAATGAGATCTTGAGGAACGAATACGACGTGGTGCTGGTGGAGAATTTTAACAGTGATTGCATGCTCGGTCTGATGCACATCTATGGAATGAAAGCGCCGATCGTTGCATTGTCATCAACTGGTTTGATGCCGTGGTCGGCCGAACGTATCGGTGTTACTGAAAATCCATCGTACATGCCAGTACTAACGTCGACCATAATAAATCCGTACTCATTCTTGGAGAGATTACAAAATACGTTCCTGAGTTATTATTATAGAGTGTGGTTCAAATATGCAGTGCAAGTAAAAGAGCAAGAGATTATTGAGAAGCATTTTGGTAGAAAGATTGTGGATTTGAACGAGTTAGGGAAGAATACGTCGCTTATGCTGGTGAACCTAATTCACAGTTTGAATGGAGCCCGACCCTTGCTACCGGGATTAGTGGAAGTTGGTGGGATGCACTTGGATGAAACTGTGAAACCTATACCGCACGTAAGTAAATAATTATGTAACTATTATCTATTCTTCTAAATCATCCTACTTAGATTAGAGGAAAAATATAGTACATTGTAGTACATAAATCAATAATATTAGCAACACGTATGTGACTAATTTAATTACCGGACATTTATTAAGCCTAACACGTTATGGAATGCCTACAGAGGTACGGACATTATTGAATGACAACCTTCTTCATATGATATACCTAAATGATATTAGTCCTTACATATACTTAGATGTACATAAACCTATCCTACTTTTTAGGTCACATTTAATTTACTAGTATGATTTTGTTTTCCAATAAATAAAAATTTGTACATGCAATTATATACTAATATTGTTTTTATACAAGAAAGTGTTTCCATTTTTATTGTATTTGTTGCAACACAGTTTCTACATGCAGATGGATTGTATTGAAGTGTGGAAGATCGTATCCATATAAAAAGATTACTTATAATGTAATTAACGAATAATAAGACTAAGTAATGCCTACAATTTAGTTTAAATAAGAATAAATAATTGAGACGCAAATTAAGAATCATATTTATTTAATTATGAAAAATCACGCATTTGGGAAGTCTATTTACAATTAAAATTCGATTGACTGAATTTTATTGTTATCGTAAGGGAATCAAATATTCGAAAATTCAGATAAGTAGAATATATGAAGAAAAGCCATTTTTGCATATCATAGTCAGCTCGCCTGCACAGACTATGTTATTGATTTGTTATCATATGTTTATTACACTAATCAATAATATTGTGAACTGAATTACTTCCAATTGGCAATTAAACGGGGTTGTTTATATTACGGGGTGTATTTATACAAGTAAGTAGTGACCCGCCATACCTTCGGACAGATAACGTTATAACTTTATCCTGTTTGTCTGTCTTTACCTACAGATAAGTATCTCTGATTTCTTTGATAATAAAATTGTTAATTACACCCCTGTTTCTCAGTGATCCTGTTATTTCTATAGCTAAAAGTATTTTAAAATTAGTTTACAATTCATATCAGTATTAGATATCAGTTTATTGAGAACACTGTGGCAATAATGATATTTTAATAACCTTGGATAATTCACACAGCACCATGTAGTCCAAAGCTAAGCAGAGCTTGTGTTATAGGTTGATTATTGAGTTTGTCCTATGTTATTGATATCAATATTTAATTAATTTTTTATATACACACAAACCGATCTTTTAAACTGAGATACGTTACGACTTCGACTTTGAACAAAGAATTCATCCTGACCCTATCGCCTGTACGATATAATAGATGCCGGTTTAATCACCAACAAAAGCATTCCCAAAAGCATTGACGTCAGACAGACGAGACTATAACAGAAGTGCAGGTAAACCAAATCCCTGAGTAGGTAGTAAAACCATTACGCCGCCCCAAATAAATAAAGGGTTGTCTGGTTCCGTTTCTGCAGGAAAATAATGATTATTAAAAAAAAACATCACCCTAAATAACTCGCACAGAGCCATCTAGTTCCGCAACTGAAAACCCGCAACTATCAGAAAGTAAGCCAGTGTGCTAAACCGCTACATTGCCGAGGTCGTTATACATAATATGTATTAGTGTGTATTATACATACAAAACGTCAGACTCTTTCTGACAATGTTCCTAATATTTCCTCCAAAAAAACAAAATTTAGTATGCAGTCACCACTCGTGTAAACTCGTTGATTAAAAAATATATCAATTCATCGGGAACTTATGGAAATACAGATAAGAAAACAGATAGCGAAAATATTTCGTAACGTTTGCTTGACTCCAGCAGAATTACGTAGCATCTTCTATAAACATCGGGAAAGCACCACCCTAGTGAAACGAATTATATATTGTTAGTGTCATATGACATATTATAATTTGATATCAATATACGTCAATATATATCGGTTTCAAGTAATTCCATGTCGCAAAACGTGACTCGTCAAATTACGTTATTAGTAATTAGATCGAAAGTTATATAATACTGAAACAATCGCTGTTTTCATATAAATGAACCTTGCCCCTTTCCATATGTTACATGTAGGTATATCCGTAGGTACAATTAGTATCGAAGACATGGTGGCATAACGCGCCGCGCACCGGTAGTACAGTGCTCGACTTGGTGTTAATCACATCGCGCGATGCGCGTAATATTTCTTTCCGTCGTCGCGCTCTTCATATTCCACAATGTGGACTCCGCGCGGATTCTCGGCCTCTTCCCACACACCGGCAGAAGTCATCAGATGGTGTTCGAGCCTTTACTGAGACACTTGGCAGAGATAGGCCATGAAGTCACCGTCGTATCATTTTTCCCCCAAAAAAATCCGCCTGAAAACTACACTGATGTCAGCCTGGCAGGTATCGCCGAAGTGGGTCTGGAGACAATTGACATATCAGGGTATGAGAACAGGAATGAATTTTTAAAAGCAACAGGTTTAGATAAGTTTATACAGCAGTTCTCAGAGTTTTATCCCCTGAATACGTTGGCATTGCAGATATGCTCGAAACTGGTGAAGTTTCAGCCACTGGAAAATGTATTGAAGAAGAAATACGATGTGGTATTGACAGAGAACTTTAACAGTGACTGTATGCTCGGCCTGCTGCATGTCCATGAAGTGGAAGCTCCAGTAATTGGATTATCATCGACTGGTATGGTGCCATGGTTACCAGAACGCTTCGGTGCAAGCAACAATCCATCCTATGTTCCTTTACTGAGTTCACCATTCACAAACCCAATGCATTTTATGGAACGAATGCAAAACACGTTTTTTAATCTGTACTATAAATTGTGGTATCGATATACTGTACAGGTGAATGAACAAGAAATAATTGAAAGGCATTTCAATAAGAAAATCATAGATTTAAGTTTGCTTGCGAAAAATATAACTTTGATATTGGTAAATGGATTTCACAGTCTGAATGGAGTTCGAGAGTTATTGCCCGGAGTGATAGAAGTTGGTGGTATGCATTTGAATAGGATTGAAAAACCTATACCAAGTGTGAGTATAAAATATATGTATCTATGAATGTTATATATAATTTATAGAGAAAAAAAAACGAGTCACTTCATACTATGTTCATTATAAATTTATACAACAATTTAACTATGCATCTACGTAAGAAAGTTTACGGAATTAAGTAAGTATTAAACATTGTAAATTAAAACTATATAAGTAGATTTTGCGTACTTTAACAAGAATATTATTATAATGTAAAGTAATAGTATTATTTCTGACAGTAACAAACCATAAAACAAATTATCTATGTCGACAATGTGACTTATTCCAAAATGAAAATCTACATACATTTACATTGTTGGTCAGATTTATACTTTTAACAATAATTTTACAATTAAGCACCTTTTCTCTCAGTAATAGAGTGTGTTTCTGAATAAAGCTTTGATAAAAAGGATATTAACTCAAGAATAATGTACGAGAAAAGGAGCAGCGTCAAAATACTTCTTTTCTATACAATTACTATGGTTGTCGAAATATCGCATACCTATATGTACCTACACATAAACTCTGACTACTATTGCACCACACTAAGTGAATATGTGTATGTACATTATGTACTTGTATTTACTTATCTATTATTATTATAAAGAGGAAATATGATTATTATTTGCAATGTACAAACCCTATGCAGTACTTATATAGAAGTCCTAGTAACTGATACGCACAACTTGGTTTGAGTTACATTTTCCCCGTTTTTGCATTTACATTTATCATTGATGCTCCGCTCCTATTGGTTGTTGCGTGATGATATATAGCCTTCCTCAGTAAATATCTTGATAATTGAAACAGTAGTTTCTGAGACTACCGCGTACAACCAAACAAACAACTACTATATAGATTTTAAGTTTCTTTCACTTGTATCGTCGTAAAAATAAAACGTACCACAATTAGGAACAATAATTTATTATAAAAAAATTGTAATGTACAACAACTGTCATAACGTGCGAAACTGGAGCGTCTCGCTAGTATTATTGATATTAATTATCATAAACAAATGAGTTCATTTCATATTATTTATTACCTACATTTTATTTGCCATTAATTATTAATTTCCATTATATATTCCTATTAACTCTAACTTCTATAGAAAATCTATTATACTACATTACAGTTATAGTTGCAATAAATGTACTTATTTGCAAAACAAATAAGTACATGTCTATCAATTATATAACAACCAACGTCCATACAAGCTTTAGTTTGTTTAAATATATGACGATTGATTTAATTAATTATTTATTACTACTACTTACTAATACCGGAGACTTCGTTTTTTTAGATAAATTGTAACCTATGTGGTCTCCGTGACAGCCTCGGTGGTCTAGCGATTTAGCATACCGCTTCCGATGGTCGCGGGTTCTATTCCTCGCACGGCACCGACTTGTTTTCATAAGTATGATTGTTTGTCTCAGTGTAGATATCTACGAAATAAGATAATATATAGATTCTTTATCTACGAAAAAAATTATCTATGTATTATCTATTGTAGTACCCATAACGCAAACTTTAGCTAGCTTAACGGCACTGTGTGAATTGTACTTAGATTATTATTATTACTATGTCCACCTATGTGATAAAATCTTGAAGAGCTATCGACCTAACATACACGGCTCCTTTACGTTTCTAATATTATATAGACAATAACAGTCTTTATTTATAAATGCATAAGTGCTACAATCGTGATGTTAACCAATGACATTGAACTAAAGTGCACTATAAAAGTCGGTCTTTATTCAATCTTTCACTAACACCCGGGTAGGATTATATATATGTACATACATATACATACTCGTAGATATATGTTTATTTATAAATAGGTATAATAACTACATAATCTCAGTCTATTAGCCAGCCAGACTTTATCTTTCTAGTGACGATTAGATAGGTGCTATAATTTGTGTTATCTCTAAACACATCAGTAATTTATTATCTATTATAATATTTTATTATTATAACTTAATTATATATGTATATATA